ATATTTTCATGTGCGAATCATTTCTAACATGATTACCACATGCCTTATGGTGAAGGGAAAACATCGTGAGGTAATCTGCGTGTCTAAGAGAACCTAGCAAGTTTTCGAAAGACATGTGAAGTCCACCAACCCGCACTTGGCCAGCGTGGTGGACTATGGCCTGATCCCCCTCGTATTGAAGAGAGGCCCGTGCCCAAAAAAAGGGCTGAATACAAATAGCGAATTACTTTCTCTTCGATCGGGTGCGTTCCTAGGTGTTTTATTATATGTAGCAGCCTGAGTGTTACTCCAGGTCATATTCTCGTTGTGAACTAAGTTTAATCCACATCAATCAAACCGCTTCAAAGAGTTACAAAGATATACAAACAAACTTTCAAATTTATAATATTAGTTCGATTTTAAATATAAAATGGAGATGAGTTATGAGATACTGACCCAAACGAAACGAGGGTGAGTCGTTAGAAATGATCTAAGGAACAAATACCTACAGTCTATTTACATATAGGTAATTTCAAACTTGGTTTATTGTAGAAGACTTAAGAGGGAGTATAGGAGCATTTAATAACAGCTTAAACAGAGCAAGTACTGACGGCCGATAAACCACAACTTGTGGCTTTGAAACTAAACCGATGAGGCTTAATTAGAAGATCGATTCTCTTCGGATAAAGACCTAGATTACTCACGCTTTGACATTGTTAAAGAAATAATTACAAGGAAGAGAAAATCTGACAGTAAAATAAATATTTACAGCCATGCTTTAGAATTTAGATTGATTTATAATATTTTTGATTGTGGAGATTATAATGCACAAACGGAAAGTCATACCAAAGTTACAATTCTATAACAACAATAATATTTCTCAGTGACATATAACATTATGTTACCATAATATTAAATCATCTGTAATAACAATAAGCAAGCTGTAACGAATAATTTTATTTCAGAAAGATACATAAATCATTCGGGTTATTTTTTTATTTTTTTCTATTTTTTTTGCAATGTTTTGGATTTACGTCACGCTTGTATTCAGCCCTTTTTAACGTCCCACTGCTGGGCACGGGCCTCCCTTCAGTACGAGGGGAATCAGGCCATAGTCCACCACGCTGGCCAAGTGCGGGTTGGCGGACTTCACATGTCTTCCGAAAACTTGTTAGGTTCTCTCAGACATGCTGGTTTCCTCACGATGTTTTCCTTCACCGTAAGGCAAGTGGTAATCATGTTAGAAATGATTCGCACATGAAAATATCAGAGGTGCGAGACCCGGGATTTGAACCCGCTTCAATCGGTTTCCCAAGCGAGCGCGTTACCACTGGGCTACCACTGCCTTACGTCACGTTTATGTTGTATAATTACTGAATTGGATTAATTCATTTTTAATACATATAATGCTATGTATTTGTAATAAATCCAGTTAATATTCGCCCAGTCATCGAAATTCGACTATATTATGTTTTTTTTTTAAATGATAACACAAAAACTCGTCATTAGCCACTAAACAAAAAAAAGATAATCGGTACACAAACAAAAAGAAAAAGGTACTCAGCTATTTTATCTTTGTCTATTTATACAGAGATTAATCATGTTTTTAATTAAACAATATTATATAAACTTTGAACTGTGATCATTTAAAAGTTTTGCATGGGTGGATAAAAACGAAAAAACTCCAATGCTACTTTGTCTTTTTAGTTAAAAGTTATTATTTATTTTACTTTTTCTCAATCAAAACCAATCAATCTCCTTTAATTGATAATATAGTTCACATGGCTCTGTGCCCTTTGGACTAAATAAAAATTTGCCGGGGGCAAAGCAATAAGTAGTATCAATATTAATGTATTCTTTGAGCTGCAATCGGACCTAAGGCCTTCGTATTTTATAATATAAAGTGACGTGGCTATTATTTGCTTATTAAAGATAATTATATTAATTATATATATAAATGTAGAATAAGAAATAACATCTAAGGCAAATTATATAATTGCAAACGAGTAGATTAAAATTAAATAATTTCTCTATTAGCTAGGCACTAATAATAATATCGCAATATTAAAAAAAATATAATAAATTTAACTCCTAAAATCATTAATTATTTAACTGGCAACTTACCCTCGTTTCGCGCGTATGCGTCCAAAGTAGATACCTAACAGTAACCTTCGTGTTATTTCCGGTCATACATAGTCTTACCATGTACTCAGCGCTGGATTTACACTAGGGGCATTCGGGGTTAGTGCCCAGGGCGGCAAATTTTGAGGGGCGGAAAAATTTGGAGGATGAGAAAAAAATATATCGAATTATTATCGGAAATGCTTTTTGTATTTTCCAAAAAATGAATAATAAAAAAATACGAGTACATTTTACGAAAAATTGAAAACATTTATATATAACTTTTTTGCATTTTTTGAAAAATTATTAATTAAAACAAAATTAAACTTTATATATTTTATGCAAAACATCCAAATCCGTCAAATCTCACTGAGACGCGCAGACTCAAGTAAACTCTCTGTTCTTTTCACTCTCGAATTTTTCGATGGGATGATGATAATTCGACACAACCTCGGACCTGTGAGAGATCACGTGCAGGGCCGAAGCTTTTACATGCTTTCCGAGACACGGTAACACAGCCAACTTCCCAACTCCTAAAACAGAAAGATTTAATAACTAAACTTGGCCCGACGTGGGACTTGAATCGAGGACCTTCGGATATGCAGCCGTACATGCTAGCCACTACATCACCGAGGCAATTAAAAACAAAAAACAAAAGTATAAAAAAATGGAACAGAAAAATCCACACGTCATAACTACAATTATACACATAATTATTCAACGTCCACCGTAATTATAAACCCTTTACGAAAGACTCAGTCTACTCTAGCAGTTGCATTGTATACGCGTATTTAGCCATATTCGTACATCATATTTATAGTAATAATAATAAATATTAATAAATATGTTGGGGCATTAACACACAGCACCATCTAGTTCCACGGTAAGCTACGAGGCTTGTGTTATGGATACCAGATAGTTGATACACTATGTTGACACACATATGTAACTTTAAATACATACATATTATAAATATAAACACCCATGACTGGAGTACAAACATTTGTGCTCATCACACAAATGAATCAGCGGGACTCGAACCTGCGACCGCTAGCACAGCAAGTAACGTCACTACAAACTGAGCCAAACGTGTCGTATATTATAAGTGCATAGTACAATTATTTATATTATTTACGTGAAGCAAACTAAATTGCTAATATTTACATAACATAAAAACCGACTACGCAAGAGACGAACATATTAAGCTTATATCTTCAATTAAATTCTCTTGTTAATAGCTTCAAAGCGTACCAAGCTTTTATCTTAACCAACAAACTTAACAAATATTGACGTATTTATAAATAACTAGCATTGCCCGCGGCTCCGCCCGCGTTCAGATGACCAAAACCCAAATTCTTAGATATTACATGTTAGTATACTCTTCTTCATTGCAGTTTTTGTATTTTTTCTCAAAAATGAAATATTTTTTCTCCCGGTATAAAGTACCCTATATGTTGACCCGGATAACCAGTTATCACCATACCAAATTTCATCAAAATTTCTCCAGTAGTTTTTCTGTGATGCGGTAACAGACAGACAGACTGATGAACAAAAATTCTAAAAACTATAGATTCGGCCTCTGTATCGATAATAATGCTTATTTCAATAAAATTTTCCAAAAAATATCTAATGTACAGATTCGGCTTAGTTACAATTTTATTACATGTAAAGAATAAAGATAAATATATGTATCTTTGTAGATTCTAATTAAAAAATTATAAGTTGTATTATTTTTACTAGTGTTCGCCCAGTGGTCGGTACAATAAAATTGAAAATTTGAGGAAAACTTTTCTATTGACAAAACTAAAGCTCATCTGTAGCTACAATTAAAAAAAATCGCTTGACAAAAAGAAAAGATAAAGGTAATGAACTGTTTTCTATTATTGCAATTTCTATTTATATAGAGATATCTTTTTAATAATTTCAATTTCAAGCAATGTTTTTTCAAAATAATAATACATAGTATTCTTCTAAGTTCTTACTTAGACATATATTTTTACCGACTTAAAAAAGGAGAGAGATATTAGAGGAATTACATTGTATGACCTTTTTGTGTTTACTGCGTGATATCTTAGCCAATTTTGAAACGATGTTCATAGTTTCTGTAATGAATAATTTATGCCTCAAAAATCAGCTCCGTTTTTTTTTATCAACAAAAAATCCACCTCTAAATGTCAAATAATGTAATTTTGTAGTCAGTGTACTCTTTTTAGTTAAAAAGTATTTATTATACAAACTTTTCTTTATAACTTATGTACATATGCATAATTTGGCACAAATTACAATTGGTCTTTAATATGTAAATACTAAAGAGGGTAATTTACATAAGTAAAGGCTTCATTATGGGCGGACTTAAAAGTTACATAAGAACTTTACTACCAACTTTATCATATAAATTCTACCTAAAAATTATATAACTACTTACAGCCTGTGGTCGCATCCGCATTATTTCTATTTAATAAAATACCAATTTCTAACCTCTAAAATAGGCTAAAAATGTCTACGCAATTTTTTATGTTACTCGCGGATACCATAATTTGATTTTGACGTTTCATAATTTCGACTTCGAAGAACAGTAAAGTAATAAATATTATAATTTTTATATTATTAATAAGTATATATCGATTAGATTTAGCATTTTTAATATCCCAAACCTTTTTATTAAAAATTTCTAAAGAAAAATATATGCCTTCATAAGCAAATTTATTTTGTACACATGTACTTTAATATATGTAATATTGAAATAACGATTAACTATTATATGTTCACTGGTAAAATAACTTTATACACCAATCACAGTTACTCATAAATTATTCTACTATACAGCAGTTACATAAAAGACAAATCTTTGAAGCCTGGAAGGATGTTTTATTAATCGAATACATTTCATTTGTACAGACATGTCTACCCACGATAATATTACTGCTGAGCAAGAAATTCAGAAGACTTTAAAGCTATGCAACTATTGCACAAGATTCATAGGCATGTCTTTAATCGACGAATTACCAAAAAGCGTATTTGGTAATCTTCGGAAATACATGTGCTTTTTAGGAACAATGATCATATTGATTTTAAAAGAAGCTGGCCAAATAAGCTATGCCATAACAAAGCTAGCATCATCTGCTTCTGTTGCGGATTTTGTAGCAGGCTTACATATAATTGGCTACGATTTCATAAGTAAGTGTCAAACTCATGTTTTACTGTTGCAGGTTTCTTAAATTTTGCGTATATTACGTCTCCACTATGGGTGGTATTTGCAAGCGCAAATCATTAAAAATTATCCTTAAAAAGATGCTCGTTTTACAATGTTATATCTATAAAGGCTAGCTAAGATGTGGGATATCGAATTTCATTCAAAACCGTTGAGACTATACATGAAGATGTATCAAGCAAACATGCTCACTCAGAAACTTAACAAATTTTAGGTTTAAGCAAGCTAATAACGATGTGGTACAAGAAAAACGTATTTCGTAACCTTATAAAAGAACTTGGTGATCTGTGGCCATCAACTAGCAATGACAAGGAGGCCGCTTATGTCAAGCGGATGAAACTTACAAGGCTGGAGTAGTTCAATTTTGTAAGTATGTATTAAGTTATAAAAATATAATTTGATGCTAATTTCAATAGCATACTTCTTAAAATATCACTATTTTAAGTTTTCCCAAATAAAATTTTATTCTCAAATGAACATTTCGAAACATTTAATTAAATAAAAAAAAATAACGATCTATTATCGCTTTCTTAATTATAGACAGTATTACAATTCCATGACGTTTTCTTACAGGGTATGGCTTTTTGAATATTTTGGGAGTCTGGCTGTACAATTTGACACCATTGCTAATTTACTTTTACCATAAGTTTCAAGGCGGCCCTGCTAATTTGGGGTACATCTGGCACTTAACATACTTTTTTGATAAAACTGAACCTGTTTACCATGAATTTGCCTTTTTCTTCGAAACAATTTCAGGTGAAAATACACATGATTAATACCTATTACAAGATAGTTACATTAATAAAAAATACGTGATTCTAACCACATAATATCTCTATTTCGAATTTCATTGAAATTTGTTTAGCCATTACAACATGAAGAAATAACAAACTTCCACACTCACGCACTAAATCTCTCTCAAACTATTTTTTTATGTTAGTCTTACGTTGCAGCTAATATAAAAATATATACTAAATTATTCTCTTAGTTTATCTGCTTATCGGGCTAATGCTGTAAAAATGTGAACAAAATCTAAAGGAAATTTGATAAAATTATAGAATATGAAACATACTAGACATTAATCCACATCCATACTATTATTATAAATGTGAAAGTGTTTGTTTGTGTGTTTGTTTGTCTTTCTTTCACGTCGAAATAGACGGATTGGCGTGATTTTTTCTGTGAAGATAGTTGAAGGGCTGGAGAGTTACATAGACTTTTTACCGCGGGAAATTATCTCATTCCCACGGGAACATACAACGCACACCAATTACATACCTATACCATTAAAACGCACCCAGGGACGAACGAGACGAGCTGCTAGTTTCTAATAATTATATAATTTCATACAATCTATAGATGAAACAAAAATATATTTAATTATGGTATTTGAAGAAGAGAAAAAGAAAATTGTTGTTTTATAGATACGGCTGAGTAAATATTATAAAGGGGCAGAGTTTATTTGTTTGTTTGTTTGAACACTCTAATCTCAGGAACTACAAATCCGATTTAAAAAATTCTATTTGCATTAGATAGTCCATTTATGAAGGAATGCTAAATTACATCATTTTATAATATATCGTAACCGTTAAAACGTACCTAGGGATGAACCCGAGCGAAGTGTGGTTGAGTTGCTAGTAAATAATATACTCAAGAATATTTATTTACATATAAATACGTATTTTCTCTTCTATTACAATTTATTTCTATATTTCTGCAGGCTTATTGTCCGTAGGGTCAATGCTGAGTTCAGACATTTTATTTATGACCATGGCAAGTCACATTAGCATGTTACTTCGACTATTACAAGACAGAATTCGTCGATTGGAAATGAAAGATAACAATAATTGTTACGACGAAATAACTTCACTAATTAAAATTCATCAGAGATTAATTACGTAAGAAATATTAAACAACTTCGCAAAATTGTTTATATTAGATAAGTTTTTATTGAATATCCATACTACGAGTAATATTATAAATGTAAAAGTGTGAAAATGTGAAAGTGTTTGTCCGTCTTTCATGTCGAAAGGGAGTGAAGGATTGGCGTGATTTTTGTGTGGAGATAGTTGAAGGGCTGGAGAGTGACATAGGCTACTTTTTATCGCGGGAGATTATCTACTTCCCATGGGAAAACACGTTATAATACAATCCAAAAAAATATTTATGAGCAGAATTACTTGAAACTTGGTATTAATGCTCTTCAATAACATTAAATAAATACACATTTTAGCATTTTTTGAAATTCATCCTATAAGGGTAAAATATGAGATTAAAGTTTGTATGAAACTAACTTTTTAGGGATTTTTTGTAGTTTTAGCACGAGCGAAGCCGCGGGTTCTGCTAGTATGTATATATTTTTCAGGTATGGGGAAGACTTGGAGAATGCTTTTTGTCTAGTCAATCTTATTAATGTTGTTTTGAGTTCCGTAAATATTTGCTGTGTGACTTTTAATATTGTAAGTATTAAAAATGAAATATAACAGTTTATATGCCATGTAGATTTGCAATGGTTCAAATTCTAATATATACAGGTAAGTAAAGTTAATGGTTTTTAATGTCGAAATAATCGTTTTTTACTAAATGTGTATGATATTGTATAAAGCACTTTACACACTTTTTTAAAAATTTGTCTGTCTGTCTGTTTATTCCGGTTAATCTCCGAAACGTCTGGACTGATTTTGACGGGACTTTCACTGGCAGATAGGTGATGTCATATGAAGTAACTTTAATTTTACAAAAAGAATAAGAGTTCGCTCAAAAAATAAAATGTAGCTAGGAATGCACCCGAACGAAGCGAGTTTAAGTCGCTAGTAATAAATAGGAAATCGCTTTGATTTGATGCATGTAAAAATAAATAATTTTGAAATTTAGTTACTACGTAAGTTCTTTTAATTATTTATAAGATAATAATTATAATAACTTTACAGCTTCTAGATCCATTAATGGTCATGAGTAATAAGTTTTACTTGAGTGCAGTTTTAACTCAAGTAGGCATCCTCTGTTGGTTTGCCAATGATATTTCCGAATCGGTGAGATATTCTCATTTTAACTAATCACAATTCTAAATAATTTGAGAGCTATGAAGGTAAATTTGTTAACCTTGAATTTAGTGTAAAAATAAATGTAAAAATCACATAGAAAATTGAAAAACTTGTTTTAACAGACGCTTTAAAGGTTTAAAAAATATTTTACCTTTTGTTTCATTCCAAAAACAATAAACCAACTTATTATTATCAAGCTCCAAATCTTCGATTCAAACTCACATTTACCTGTTGCTATTAAAATAGTAAACTAATAAACACTCTTTCGGGTTTATTATATTTATAATAAAAAGGTTAAATATAATACTGAATAGTAAGACATAATATATCACTACGTAGCATTAACATTCTTCTCGCCTATCAGAGCTCCGGCTTGGCCACCGCAGTTTACGATAGCGGCTGGTACCAGTGTGATGTTCGCAACCAGAGAGTGCTCTTAACTATAATTCAAAGGTACCATCCATACTAATATTGTAAATATGAAAGTTTGTGAGGATGGATGTTTGTTACTCTTTCACGCCAGAACAGCTGAACGGATCTGGATAAAATTTGCCACAGAGATAGATTATGGTCTGGAATAGCACACAGGTTACTTTTTACCCCGGAAAAATTCGGATCGATTTGTTTTTATCTAGGGATGAATTGGAAGCGAAGCATAGGTAAGTCGCTAGTTATTAGTATGGTAATGGTCAAGTTTTTAATAAGGTTGTGTAAGAGAAATTAACTGGGAATATTATATTATACTCTACGTAGGGCAAAATTTCCCAAGTAATATGAGCCAAACGAAAGTTAATATTATAAAATTCATCAAGCCTTTTAAGTTACAGAGGATATGAATAGGCATATATATTTACATAGTTATATGTATAACGATTTATAATATTTTTATAATAATATAACCTCGGGAAACGCATAGACTTCTTCGTTTGTTCTTTTCTTTCTGCTGGTGCGAAAATAATGCATAATATAAAATGCAATCCAACGTGGTTTATCGCACCTAAGATCTAGGTATCTTCTGCACTTCATTTCAAATAACCGTACGAATTATTTAAGACATTAAAATACTAAAAACAAATCAACTTTAGAACCATCCAATATTCTGCAATAGTAAAATCTACGTAAACAGCAACTAATTTGCATACCAATCCATTCAGACTATCTCGGGGCGACGTTTCAACCTTTTTATTTATTTCGCTTGCAGATCCCAGAAACCTCTTTATTTCACAGCGATGAAATTCAGTCCCATCACTATGTCGACTTATAGCTCGGTATGTAAAATTTAAAAAATGAAACCCTTTTCGTATTTAAGTCGTTTATATTAAAAAAAAACTGTTTTGTTTCAGATACTTACCACTTCTTATTCGTATTTTGCTCTATTATACACAATGTATCGAAGCAATTAAGGTTTTACTATGTCCTAGATTAATTACTATAATTTTTATTAAATACACTGTAATTCATTACAAAATAGCACACACTGAGAGTTTTTACAATATTAACATTTTTTTCATGACCGTTTGCTGAATGCAATTTTTGTTATGACTTCACCATCCCGTCAGTTATGTTATGGTAAAATTTCACGATACTATATAGATTACTAAATGTCATGATAAGTATTTAAATTGTAGAAAATAGATGTAATTGGGAACTTAAGTATTGTCAAAAGAATCGATAAAAATAAGAATCAGACGTATATTGGCATATTCTATCTAGTTTTAAAGCTTGCTTTTCATTGACTAAACGGGGGTTTTCATTTAAATAAATTTAAAAGATTATTAAAGTTAATGGTGATAAGGGTTCAATTTTTTTTTTGTAACAAACAATTATTCTAAGTTCAAATAAAGGATATCGAGGTTGACATAAAATGGTTCTAGAAATGATAATCTTTCGGGAGCTGCATTTTATGATACATAACAAAATTTTGAGGGTTGTTACAAAATAAATGGGATTGTTTCTCATCGAACACGTGACATTGGAACTCGTTGCGATCTCAGAAGCTTTGTCACACTATTTACCTCAAGTGAATAATAAAATAGTATGAGTAATTATATCATATAGTAAGAGTGCCTTCCAACATTTGGCCCGATACACCTTTGGATACAGAGTTGTATACCTATGATATTTTAGCAAAGAACACGATTTTCTTTTCCTTTAATAAAAAAATATGTATATATAAATACATACAGACGTACACAAAACCTCCTCCTTTTTTGGAAGCACTAATACTCCTCAATTCTAAAGAAATATCACCAATATGTACTTGTGCTTATATATTATGTATGTAGAACTATACCATTAAAATGTGTGTAAAACTTATTTTAAATATACTAGAAATTGACTTCAAAGGTAGTATAATTTCGTACCCCTCGTTTCATACGTTTTCATGAAGACCATAATCTATACATACATTATAATAAAATTCTAACTGAGTCGAATCTGTACATTAAATATTTTTTGGAAAATCTTATTGAAATAATCATTATTATCGATACAGAGGCGGAATCTATAGTTTTTAGAATTTTCGTCTGTCTGTCTGTCTGGGAACGCATCGCGAGAAAACCACTGGACAAATTTAGATGAAATTTGGTATGATGATAGCTGCTTATCCGGGTCAACATATAGGATACTTTTTACTACGAGAAAATATCTCATCTCTGAGAAATCTATACCAACCATTAAAACGTTCCTAGGGACGAGCCCGAGCGGGGCGTGGGTGATTCGCTAGTGTCATATTATACGTGTAGTAAACAAAAATAAATATGTCTTCATTCATAATACATGTTCATCCTTGATTTTTAAAAAGATAACCAAAAGAAAAATAAAACAACTGTAGAAATTCTAATGAGATTATATGTATTCATTATTTTGTACTATAAAAATAAATTTTCATATCTAATTTTACGAATGCGTTTAGGAACGAAATATTTTTTCATTCCTGGTAGGCTTTACGATGTACAAAATTAAGCTTTTTAGCACTTAGGTACATAAATTGTAAATTGTGACATATCCAGGCAATAAGAGAGTTTATATTGTGTATATCAAAACGAAAGTACTTATAAGAAAAGGAATGTATATAACATATTATAAAATATAGTCACCCGTCGCGTCTGTCTGCCCGAACGCGATAAACTCAAAAACTACTAAGCGGATTTTCATACGATTTTCACCAGTAGATCGAGTGATTCATGACGACGGTTGTATAATTCAGGTGTATAATTCATAAAAGTTTTGTGTAAATTGGCTAAAATATGATAATGATTGTTGAAGATGTGGGAAAAAATCATGCCGACTGGGAGCTTTACTGGTGTGCGCCGCGTAGACTAATAAACTTATATGAAAATTGTTTTCATTATTAAAAATTTATTTCTCTTCAAAAGATTTTCCTATTAAACTGTAGCAACGTTATGGGACGCACCCGAGCGAAGCAATGATAAATCACTAGTGACCATATATTGTATTCAATCTATGTCTGTTTTGAAAATACATTTGCTTTCTAAACTAAAAAATAGAGATTCGATTAAGAATTTCTTAAACCTGTACTAATAGTATAAAGCTGAAGCGATGTTTGTTTTTTTTTTTTATTTGAAAGTGGTTGTCTCTGAAAGGACCAGTCTAATTTGTAAAATAATTTTGGGACCATTTTTAAAATATTATTTATTTTACGTTTAAATCTATTGAAACCTACTTGAAGTGAATAATAACTGTGAATAATTGACCTGAAGTAGCGCTTACGCTATAGTCTATACATATAATAAAATTGTAACTAAGCCGAATCTGTACATTAAATATTTTTTGGAAAATCTTTTTGAAATAAGCATTATTATCGATACAGAGGCCGAATCTATAGTTTTTAGGATTTTTGTCTGTCTGTCTGTTACCGCATCACAGAAAAACGACTGGAGGGATTTTGATGAAATTTGGTATAATGATAGCTAGTTATGCGGGTCAACATATAAGGATACTTTTTACCGCGGGAAAATATTTCATTTCTGAGAAAAAATACAAAGACCGCAATGTAAGAATATACTAATATGTAAAACCTAAGAATTTGGTTTTTGGTCATCTGAACGCGGGCGGAGTCGCGGGCAATGCTAGTTAATAATAAAGCTATACATGCATATTTTATTCATACAAAAGGTACCTAGTAATGCACCTTGACGAAGGAAGGCTAAGTCGCTTGAAAAACATAAAATAAAGCTAAAATCTGCGATCCCTATTTTTCTGTTACATAAATTTGCAAATACGAGCCATTAGGTAAATGTAAACGACTTTGCAATACTTATCGTGAGCTTAAAAACCTCAATCACTACTTAACTGGCCTTTTCACAGAAGCCTCTTATAGAAAAAATATATTAAAGATTTCCTTTAAAGTCTTCGACACTGAGTTCGAATGATTGGATAATAAAGTTGTTCGAAACTGTCTTTTCCATTATTATTCGTTTATATTACTTTGCGAACATTTCATCTCGTGAACAGTTTGTTCCGGAGGCTTTTAAAATCTTTATGGCCAATCTGGAGATTTAATTAAATTTCCTCCACCACATCCGTATTTTATGATAATTGGCGATTCCATAATCTGTTTGTATTCGTCGAAAATATTACCGAAATATACCATGCATAATATGTATTGTACAATCGCATTTTCAATATATGTAAATAGAACCTTACTTGAAGAAAATGTAAATTGAAGATGAAACAGAACGAAGTGGATCTGCGCTTACGAAGCAACATTCTTGGAAGTAATCTAGCTTATGTGGGATGGATAATAAAGAAACAAGTACCCAACTTAATTTTGAAGATATCTATATAGAAACACTAAAATACGTAACTTTTAGCAAAAGTAAAATAATAAGCACGTAATTCTTATATTCCGAAATGTTATTTCTCATAATTTATTATGCCTTTATGACATGAATTTTAAACAATCCATAACGATTATACTTATCTTTATATATATAATTCTTCTGTGAGTGTGTATGTCACTGAACTTCTCTCAAACGACTGGACCGATTTTGATGAAATTTTTTGTGTGTGTTCAAGGGGATCTGGGAATGGTTTAGATTCACAATTTGAATAATAATTTTCATCAAAAAAATTATTAAAAATAGTTTGAAATTTTCAAATTAAAGACGTGTAGACAGGACAACGTCTGTCGGGTCCGCTAGTATCAATATATGATTACTATATCAAAATTTCACCTCACTACGTCCAGTAGATACATCAGTCAGCACCATTACTATTCGCATCTCATAACAAACTTTATTTATCATCTGATTGACACACTATTTATTGTTCATACTGACAACAAAGTACATTTGATTAAATTACAACATTTCAACGACTACATCATTATCATTATATCATTATTATCACCTGCGCTCTAGGAGTCTAGACAACCACGGTCGCGACCACAACCGTGACCATTAATAGATGGTCGCTATAACCATGGTCTCGGTCGCGTTCACTTAGTTTATATGAGCCGTTATTACACTTATATTGTATGCTGATACGATGCAAAATACCTTAGAAAATATAATTAAACTTTTTTGCCATCAAAAAAATCTAATGTTTGATGTTTTCGCACATCACTCGAGAACGATAAGACGGTATTTATTGTTTTTTTTTTAAATACAGAGAATTTTCTAGATTAAGACCATATTTAAATCTTATAACTATTAATAAATCAAATAATTTCAGCTGAACCCGCGAAGTTTCTTCATAACGAGAAAAATATTCGCGGATTGAACTGCTGTATTGCATAAAAGTTTTTAAAGAATTAAAATTAATTACTGGATCGTAATTAAATCTAGAGCTTTTTAATAAATCTTAATTAAAACAAAATTATAAATTATTTAATAAAGTCAATTTAATCGAAGCCTTGCTATATTAATAATAATAAATGATTGTAAGTGCTTTAAATCAATGGTAATTTTAATATACTAAAAGAGGCTAGAGAATTATAAAGTATATCTGTCTGTATGTTTATCAAGAAAATTATAAGTTCCAGAAAGAACAACGGGTTATGGTCTATATATAAAAAAATGATGGTTGTATTTCAACCACTGATAATAATTTCCCAATCTATAAACAAATCAATTTTCAAAATTTTCTTCTTTAAATTCTGCTTTTATTTTTCCCACAATCGAATCCTGGACTTTCTCTGATGTAACTATTATATACCTTCTTTTTTTTTAACGTTGGGAAATGCATTTACGCACGAGGTGTGGGACTCACCGGCAAAGCCAGTACTACCCACTAAAACCCAACAAAGCCTTCCCCCGTCTTAATGGGGCGTCGCAGGATCGCTTACGCATTCAACTACGACGCCCCGACGGCAGGTCTGCCGAAGCAGACCACAACAACCACGGGGTTGCTCCACAGTCCACTCTGCTATCAGAGA